ATATAGGTATACATAATTTTTTTTTTGTAACTACCGTAGCCCTTCCGTATACCTATAATATTTTTCTATTATAAACCACTAACGAAAGTGAACAGTACAAAAAAAGGACATATTATAAAAAATTTTGTTTTTTTAAGGAAACAATTGATTCAGTTGACGTTTTGAAAGGAAATACGTACATATACAAGAAAGGTATAAAGAAAAGAAAAGGACCAGAACACAAGAACAGAATTTTTGAAAAAGGAAAGAAGAAGAAATTTGCTTTTTTTTTTTTTTTGTGTTCAAGGTATATTGGATTTTGCGGTTTTAAGGAAATAAAAATTTCGTGTGTTCTTCAAATTTATTTTCAATGTATACGCGCACATTTTTATAATGGATAAGGTTTTACAGTTTTGAACCTATATATACTTAATGCACAAGTTTAAAGGTGTCAGATTTTTTTTTTTCTTTTTTTGTTCAGCAAAAAAAAAAAAACGGAAATGTATTTTAGAATTTAAATTGAAAAAAAGTGAAGAAAAAATTTTTTTTCTCGTTTTTTTTTCTTCTAAATTGAAAATCTATTGTAATTTAAAGTACTCGATAACATTTGTTAGGGAATTTTTTTCTTGTATATTTTGTACCTATGCATTCTTTTCTGAAAGTAAATTGTTAACAAGTTCTTACACTTTCTTTTGAGGGTGTTATTAAAAGGAAAATACAAATTGTGTAGGCGTTTTATTTAGATTTTTTTCTCATTTTTCTTTTTCTTTATTTGACAAATTTTCACTTTGACAATTTAATTTGAGATTAACTTGTTAAATTATTTCCCTATTTTTATTTTTTTTTTAAATTGAACTTATATTCAGTATTTTGAGATTGTAAGGATAAAAAAAAATGTTGGTTCAATAAAGTTTTTTTTTAGTGAAACATTTGTTAATGAAAAATGGAATGCGGTGTTTAGAGTATGTAATCGAAAATATCCTTTTTATTTTTTTAATTGCATCTTTCATATTAGAATTTTGATATTATAAGTTAAATTAAAGATTTTAATAATATTGATTTATAATTTTAAAACATCTCGTATCATTATAGATTTTTCAATATTAGAGCGGCAGATTAACTATATTAACTTACATAGTACATATATGCGGCAATATACATTAATTAACTATTACTATAGAAAATTTTGGTTCAATGAAGATCTTCATGAAGATCTAATTTTGCCAGATTAAATTCATATTTATTGAATTGAAAATTTAAGATTCCTTTTTTATTAATTCATTGAAAACAGAGCATTTAAATCTAAATTAAACAATATTTTTCAGCAGTACCTTTTACAGTATAATTTTAAAAAGGAACTTTTAATATACAGAGCAATTCAGAAAAATATACAACAACATATACCATTGGTTAGATTGTCGAAAATTGGTAAAACATTTTACGAATGATGAAATACTTTTGGAATGATATTAGAATCGCTTTCAAAATTAACTGCTTTCACATTTAATATTTTTATAAATACCGAAAAGAGCTTACCATATACATTATAGAATACACTTTATAAAACCATTAATTTACAAACGAAACACTAAAATTTTCATTTCTAACCTTCCAATTATAAAAATTTTTTAATGTCCCCAATAATTTTATTCAAAAAACAAATTGTTTTATTGACATATTACTGCATGGTTATCATTACTATAAAAAATTTGACCTCCAACGACTTTTCATGTTTACGAACTATATGAATTCATAAGATATTATATTAATCTCTGAACAGAATATAAATAGCTTATATTGAAAAATATATAGATAAGATCTTTCTTAAATAAGAACAAACTTCTTAAGCAAAAAATGAACGTTTGGCGATTGTCCAAAGTTCTTTATTTTAAAATTTTTTGTCATCAAAATTTCTTTAACATTTTAATTTGCCTTTTAAATTTCGTATTACCTATTACTACGTTATACCACCCACTGGGATAGTTAACTAGGAAAATTACTCAAAAACAAAAAAGAAAATTATGAAAATTACAAATTTCAAATACTATTTAACCTAATTTTAAAATGGCATCAGAACAAATACGAAGCAAAAATAAATATAGAAATTTTGAAAAAGCAAAAAAATATTTTTCATATAAAAAAAAAAATTTATTTGGAAATTTAAATGGTGCGTGTAAAAATATAATATTAAATATGTTTTTTGCTGAAATTCCCGGAAAATACGAGGAAATACTTTTCCAATGATATTAAATTACATTTATTTTTCTTTCTATATACATACATACATTTTACATTAATAAATTCAGAATTCACTAAAAGAGATATAAAAAAATTTTTTTTCACTTCTCTTTTTCTCTATGTTTGCCCTTAAATGAGATGAGTTCAATCAGGATGTAACAAAGTGATTTAAAATGATGATGATATGTCAAAATGTAACAAATAATAATATGAATGAATACCGACCTTCTTAAAACACATACAAGGGGATGTGTGTACGTATGTTCTGAAAAATAGGGAAATTATTTGTAAATCTATACTTATACAACAATATAAGTGTAGTTATCCACTCTTTAATTTTTCATTTATATTTTTATTTTATTTACAAATTAACAAATTACATTATTAATTTCTTAAGTGAAAAAAAAAATTTTCCATCAAATTTACACTAGTCGTTTAAAAAGTACTTAGGAAAAGAGAATTCAGGTTTTGAATTTTAATTGTATAATAAGCAAGGGTAAATTCAAGGAAATTAAAGTGTCTTAATCGATTTAATGTGCGTATGCTACACCAATGCAAGTACAAAAGTAAAAATTCAACGAAGCTTCTATAGAGCTCGGGTTTCCGAATATAAATCCCGGAAATTTCATTTAACTCCAAGTTATAAAGAATAAGTTCCCTAATTGCTACTTTTTAGGCGTTGACGGCAAAATTTATAAAAATCTAGTTCTGTAAATAAGTGATTTTATTTTTCCATTTCCGGAATAGTTCGTTTTTGTTTGTCTGTGTTTATTTTATTACTCTTTCATAGTCCGTTCGTGCTTTCCGAATTTTGTGTTCTTGTTCCGAATGTTTATTGTAAATAAAGCTTGAGTTTAAATTAAATAACACGTAATATCATACAATTTTATGCATGTTCAAAATATATTATGCAAAAATTTCTAAAGTAGGACATAAGAAATATTCAATATTCCTGAAAAAATTGTGGGATAAAACTATAATAATTGACTAGCACTGACATTATTTCAAAACACTTAATTCATGACTTAAAATCACTTTGATGCTTGAATATATTTACACAAACTATAATAAAAATCCTGAATTATTGCATAATATCAATTCAATATCAAATTACTTTTAGCGAAATTCAAATTTAAATTTACTAGAATTAATACTATAGAAAATATTCTATAGAACTCGGGTTTAACTCCTCATATATTAACATGTATTCCATTGAAATATTAACATAATTTATTAATAACTGCAAATTTAACGGCCAAGACAATTATTTATTATTCAGCCTCCGTATTTTATCATGTGACCTTTGTGAGGTAAATGCTATTTACGCCATATGTTTCATATCAAATCTCAAGACAGATTTTTTAGTGATTGTACCATAATTTTTCTTGTATTTTCAAGAATATTTAAATTGAATTATAAGAAAATTAAGAATAAATTTGATGAATAAATAAGGAAAATAAAAAAAAAATTATTTTTATGATTGCTCATGATAGGTTACGGTTGTTATTAGTAATTTTCAAAGAATTCTATATAGTATAGAATTTTCGCCGTCTTCGGAGTCCAAGAATAAGAATTTTAAATTTTTTTTTCTCTTATTATAAATTTTCAAATTTCATTTATTATAAAATATGTTTGAATTTTGTTCATCATCGTTTCTGTTAATATTAATCTATATTATAATTTTAAATTGAACATAGCAAAATACAACATATGATTAAGCTTTGTAGAATAAGAGAGGCAAAGTTTTTATACCGCAGAATATAAAAAGAAAATGGAATGAATGAAAATTGAGACACGCACTAAAATTATGACAGATAAGATAGGTGTACATCATGTTAACACTCGCGTACATAGACAATTTTTTTTTTATTTAAAATTATTTTAAAAATTTTTTTCTCAAATCTAAAATGATGATGGTTCTGATAATATAATATGGATGACTAATGTGATGATGATGATGTTATTGGTGTTATTATATTACTATATATGTGTGTGTATGTGATGGCGATGAAAAAGAATGATTATAGTGACAGGATAGTCACGATCTTCAATGTATAATTAAGTATAAAATGATAGGTTCCATTGAGTTCTTAGAATTTTAAAGAAACTATTATTGAATTAAATATGGCTATAGAGAAAGAGAATATTATGTACATACAAGAATTTTATATTTTTTATAACACAAATGTATTTTATATTTTTATAACAAGAAGGCAATTCTTATTTACTTATATATACACGGGAACCTCTATATATAACGCCATCTTCATATAACTACTTTTTGTGCTTAATAAATAGAATATCTGTACATTACGAATTGTGTTCGTAATATAGGAAATATTTATTTAACAAAATGTCTATATTACGAACAAAATGTTTATATAGGTGTTCGTTATATGGAGATTTCACTGCATGGGGCTCAATTAATCTTCATAAGTTAAAATTATTATATTAAATTAATAATAAAATCTAATTTAATTATTGAATACGTTAACAACATCTGAGTGCATCTAAATGAACAGAAATTAATACAATTCAAAAATTATTTGACCTATTGAATATCCAATTTATTTCACACAAATCACACAAATATTATGCAAACAGCGATCTTTTATAATACTCAACACCATTTCCTGATATAAAAACTTAATTCAATAAGAATATTTTTATATATATTAAAACCAATCTAATTAGACCTGCAACTTAAATAAAAATAATTGAAACTTTCAATTATATTTCTTAATACTTTTAATATTCAAATAAATTCTGATTTTTATTTTCAGGTTTTCCACAATTAAAATCAACATTTGGTTCATCAGCGAATTGTTTAACAGGTAAGGGCAATATATATTTTTTAAAATAATAATTTAAATAATAATTTGCATATATTTAGGAGCAATTTGTCACCATTCATTTAATTCATTTTTACGTATTTATTATCCTTTTTACATTCTCGTATTTTTTTTTTTAATTACAATCAGCTGATAGCTTAATGAGAAATATGAGATATATACATTGATGATAAAGAGAATTTTTATTAATTGTTGAGAGTTTATATGTAATTTGAATTGTGGTTTTTAAACTTTTCTCAATTCTCTCATTGTTAATTTCTCAAATCTGTATTATTCGTTAAATTATTTTTGCAAAAATTTTTTGATTGTATTTTTTTTTGGATTTTTTTTTCTCTTATGCTTATTATCCACAATAAATCATTCATTATGGATGCAAATATAGAATGTGGAATGATATTCAAATGTAGCATTTTAAATTCAAATTTATTGAATATTTTAATATAGAGAAATCGGGATTTAAAGTGTAGTAATTTTTAAATTAAGTATTATGAAAATTATTCCTTAAACTCATTATGTTTTTAAAGCCATATATTGAATTATAAATATTCGGTTGTATGGAGTCCTTTTCATTTGAATTTAGCAAATATTTTTATTATGATAACTTTCACCAGATAACATGTATTAACATTATAACATAATCATCTCTATTGAATTAGAGATTGTGTATAAAATACAACTAATTCTAAATAAATTTTTTTAAAATAATTGAACATCCTTTTCATCTGTGTATAAAACACAAAAAGGAATGAAATTTAAGTTGTACGAACATTGTCTATTTATTATTGATGTTATTGTTTTGTACTAAAATTTCATCATTAAATATTTTTAGATTATTTTATCCGGAGTACTGATAAAATTTAAATTATTTAAGATTTTAGTTGGGAAAAAAATTACTTGGAAACTTATTCATGTTAATTACATGCTTATTACGAAATCATCACTAAGTTGCATTCCAACTTGTACTTCTTCTCAGACTCGAATTAAAAGAAATTGTTTTGAGTTGATGACTTGACTCAACAACACTTTTTGGATTTTTATTATTTGCACATAAAATTTTTTCATATTAAAAATAAATTTTTGTTACTGCCAAAATCACGCGTCTTTGTTTATTGTGCAGATTCATTTTTTTTTTCTTTTGCAGTTTCCACAATAAGTGTATTAATTTTTTTCTTATTTTTTTCGTCTTTTCTTGCTCCCTAAGGTTATTATGTTTATTTTTATTTTCTTTTTTGTTTTATACCACATATTTTATAAGTAAAAGAGAGAAGAATATAATCTTGTGTGTATTTCAATAATAAAAAGGATAATAAAACAGGCAATCAAATTGAATTATGGTTTTAATTCATGCAAAAGAAAATCAACAACAAAACAAAACAAAAAAATAAATGGCGCAACAATTTTATTACTCTACCATTATTTTTTTCACTTCTATGATTTTTTATGGTTATTGTTTGTTTTTTTTTCTTAATTACTTTCAATAAAAAAGAAATTTGATTCGATTTTTTATTTATTTTTTTTATTTTTTCTTTTCTCGGTTTACTTTTGAATAAATTCGTTCAAATTGTGTGAATATAAGCAAATTATAGGACAATAACTTAATACCTTTAAGGAAGAGTTCAATGAATCTTGAATAATTTCGAAAAAAATAGAACAATTGCTGTACAAGAAGTTTGAAAGGAGTTTTTGAATTGCATTTAAAGTAAATTTATTTAAGATATATATATATATTTATATATATATATATATATATATATATATATATATATATATATATGTACATACATTATATACATACGAGTATAAATAATTTATTATTTATAAATAATTTTAATGGGTAAACTTATATTTAAAATTTTAAATTATTCTGATCAATAATTAAAATTTTAAAAGGCAAGACATTAAAAGCTGCTTTTACTGTCCAGTAAATTTCTATTACCTTAAATCTCATAATATTATAATATAAATATGAATTTAAAATATATAGCACCATATAACAAGGTAAACTCACAAGAGTTAAAATTCATAACAGCAAATATCATGAGTTTGAAGGAGATTTAAAAAATCTTAAAAATATTATTGAAATTAAGGATAAGTTAGGAATGTCGGCAACTAAAAAATCACTTTTACTCATATAATGACAAATGATCAATTAATTTCTCAATCACATCTCAATTTTTTAAATGCCTAAATTGAAATTTTTATATAAATTTCAAGTATACGAGTGGCTCTAATAACATTTAAGAATGCTATACAACAATTTTATTTAATGCTATAATTCAAAGGACACAATTTTTATTAATGTGAAAAAATTTTAATTAAATTATTTTCGTAAATTATAATTATTTTAAATCGGGGTTACCCTTTTCTTTTAATAGAAATAAATTTCATTTTTTATATTTCTCTATATTTTTTTTACTTTGAAATTCTCAAATTAACTTCAACTGTATTTTGTTTTTTCTATTCTATAACATACCACGTGTACACATATGTCAAAAGTAAATTTTATTAGGTATAAAAGTAACCTATAAAAATGTTTCAACCTTTTACTAAAATTTCGTACGTACTTTCAAATTAATGTTCATATGTTTGTGGTGGTTGTTTGTTCAAAGGAATTTTTTACTTTTATTTACTAGCATAATTTTTATATTTTGTTATTGTTTGTTGTTCTTCTTATATTTTTCGTTTTTCTATTTAATACTATTCATAGAAGTCAAAAAACCACCTTATCCTTTATTAGAAATTTAACAAAAAAAAAAACGACAAAATCCACATATGAATGCTTATTTATTTTACTTGTTCTTCTTGTTTCCCTTATTTTGTAAGTATTTTCGTTTTTTTTTTGTTTCTCATTTAATCCGTGACGATACGTTTATTTGTTATTATGGAATGTTTTAATTGAATTTTTAATGTATGTTGTTTTATCTAATAAATATTATGAGAATATGTAAGGATATGTGAGGAATCTATATATATAAAATTACCATTACCGTACATGGTTATATGAAAATAATGGTACAGGGTGTTAATTATAATTATTTTATCTATTCAATATGATTTAACAATGTGCAAATGTAGTAGATGTTCTTAATTCACACAACAATTACAATAAGTTCTACGATTATTAGATGTTGTGAGTAGATGTTGAATAAATGAATAATTTTTCTCGATAATATCCTAAGGTGTATTAAGTATTTGGTTAAAATAAATAGTTAAATTTTTATACAATACCTGTAATAATAAAATTTCCATTAATATCTAAATTTAAATTTAAACATGATTTTAATTTAATAATTTTCAATTACTACTCTATACTACTCGAGTTATTGAAATTTGGTATGGCTATAACAATTAAACATGAGGCATTTGTTCGTATAACAAATTGCAATTTTCGTTTTAATATTAATTAATAAAAAAATAAACATAAAAATGAATTAAATTAATTGTTCATATTTATTCTATACCACATAAAGGCATAGGTCTATCTCATGCTACCATTATCGTACTTTTTGAATTATTTTACATAATTCCAGTTTAAATAAGATGATAAAATATAATAAATTCACATGAAATAAGTTAGGATTATAAAAATAAATCGAAAACAGAATGTATATCAAATCTCAGAGTATAACAACACATTATACACCCGGTATATGAACTTTATTCATATATTAAATTGGATAAAATAACTGTGAAATTGGTTCAAATATGTTAGTTATTAACACATATGTTCGCTCCTCATTCATATTATCCTTCTATATTTTATCTCATACCCGTTCTTTATATATTGTTTCATATACACATATAGAATTTTTTCATGATGGTAAACTTATAAAATATATATCTATGTTCGTTGATTACATACGTTACAAATTTGTAAAAATTTTTGCCTTTATTATCTTTTTCGTTTTGTTGGTTTTTTTCTTATACACCAGACAGAAAAATACCAACCAACAATTTTTTTTTTTGTATGATTTCTATTGTTTTATTTGTTCTGGTGTGTTGATTTTTTTTTTTCAAACGAATAAAGACAAATAATTTTTAAGGTGCTAATGTGAGTATAAAAAAATATATAGAGAATAAAAACAAAGATTTATAAGTTAAGTGAATTTTTCGGTGTGAATCCTTTCTTCTCTTTGTTGGTCTATGAATATTGTTTTTTTAATTTTCATGAAATACGCTATCTGAGAATATAAAAAGTACTTCTTGATTAAAATCATATGAATTCCATAAAACTTGTTAAAAGTTTTGAAAATGCAATGAGTTTTATAAAAAAGAAATATTTGAAAAAAATCAAAATGATTACTACAAATTCCTCCGTAATCATGTGATGATCAGAAGGTCCAAAATTTTATTAATTATATAGAAATAGAAAGATAGTAAATCATAAAGCAATCAAAACTAAAATTTGCCAAATAAATATTGAACTTACATATATGCGGTAACAAACTCTGGAACAAAATCTGAAATGAAGAATATTAGAAAAATTATTTTAAAATTCATATTGGCAAGAAAGTAACAGGAAAGAAGGATGTCAAGTCATTGGGCATATACAAATTGATATTTTTCCTAATAGAAATAAATTTTTTTTTAATAACAACTACCTAATGACAAACCGATAATAGAATTAAATGAATTAATTCACTAATTTGACATACAATATTATTTTGCATTCAAAATTTTATTTTGATTAATATACGACATTTTGTAAATAATAAAAAATCATTCTAATAAAAGAATGATCCGCGTAACAAAGAGAATAACTGTTCAATTTATTTTATTTTTATAATGATAATATAAGACTGATAATCCTTCGTGAAATCACGAAAGCATATCCTAATATCAACATTTCAATTCAAAAAATTTCAAAATTGTCATTTCAAATTTTTGTGTTCATGAAGCTTCAAATTAATTAGAACGCCTGAGGATCAGTTTTGTATAATATTTGTAATTAAAATTCCCCAAATGGTCGAAACTTTAATATA